TAATTCTGAATTTTTTTCAAAAATATATATTATTATTAATACAAAAGAAAAAAAGTATTTAATACTTTTTGTAATATACTACAGTAACACCACTAATATAACCTCAACATTATACCAAAAGCCAAAATTCAAACTTTAATAAAAGAAAATATTTATTTGGTGCAGGGTGCACCTAGTGTTTGTAGTCGATTTCGCATAGTCGATTTTTATCGACTTAGCCGACTTAGTCGATTTTTTGGAAATCGACCGACTTAGTCGATTTACGTTAGATTATATTAAAGTACTAATCAGATTCGGTACATTACCTCTCTTGGTACATAGTACTAAGAGTAGGAGCCGAAAAATTCCAAAGAAAAATAGAACATGAGCAAGGTCGCGACAAAAATTGATGAAATCCCCGACAAATTCCGAAGATAAAAAAAATATTAATCGACTGTGACTTAGCCGGCTAAGCCGAATTTTAAATATCGACTTAGTCAAATCGATAAATGGGGATCGACTACAAACACTAGGTGCACCGTGTGCCCCCTATGAAAAATTTGAACCTAAGAATAGTTAGGTTAGGTTAGGTTAGGTTAGGGTTAGTATTAGGGTTGGGCTTAGTGTAAAATTGCGAGAGGATCATTTTCATTAGTTACACAACAGGGGTTACCCTAGTAAAATTTTGAGTTATAATAGCAAAGGGTGCACCAAAAAATAATGTCCTTAATAAAATTGTTTTTTTTTATTGATAGAGTTTTTTTTCTTTAAATCACATTAAATTTTCACTGTTTTTTTCTTCTAGCCTATTAAGCAATTGTATGATATCGTTAATGTTGTTGATCTTTGAAAATTATCACACTCAGCAACTATTTACCTGAAATAACCCAGTGTAATAACCAGAATAGTACCATGCCATCAATAAATTGCTCAATGCATCGTCATCTACACAATATATTTGGAATTAGAACAGTCTAATAATATTTAAGAAATTATAATAACAATTACCTATCATCGGCGGTGGAATAGCAGTTTGAGGCTAAAGAAAACAGATCATGTCAGGAAAATAAATACAAGCATCAAAAAATAAATAAATAAAATGTTGACCTTTGGCGGTTGCATTGATCTCCATCCTGGAAAATATGATACATTAGGATCCTATAATGATAAGCAATAGATAATGAATTAAACCTCAATATTTATAAATATGAATTAATATTCATAAGCACATCTAAAAAGGCTATATTACCATTATCGGCGGCGTTTGATAATAAAATTGAGGTGGTGGCGGTGGTGGAGGATAATTATTATACCATCCATAAGCTGAATAATAAGAATTATCACCTGTCGCTGAATCTGAACCATGGCCATAATGTGTGTACGAATCTTGCGTATGTATATGGTCAGTTTCTTCTACTGACGAATCATCGACCTTTTCTTTTTGTGTTTGGTCCGTAGAGGATTTAGCCTCTGCATTAGTTGGCTTTTCAGGAAAAGACCCGGCCTTTGGTGGAGGTGGCGGTGGATATGAATAATAGCTTGGATACTGGTGATAAGAGTATGGAGGATACCCCATATATGATGATTGCGAGTGATATGATGGCACCCTTTTACCAGCTACAGACGCTTCTTTTGATCCCATTGACGTTTTTCCTCGAACCTGTAACAAAATGAAAAAATTAGCATAGATTTTAAATATATATATATATATAATTGATCAATACCTTTTTATCATCACTCGATTTTAATGCCGATTCGTCATCTCGATCCACACCTTTATTTTTAATGTTATCAATTTTGTTGGTAGTTTTTTCAGTTTTGATACTATGAAAAGACTAAGAAACGAACGTTCAGCGAAAGTAAAAAGCCTGATCAACTGTAAAGCGAAGTTAGCCAGTTGATTACTTGGTATTCCTTAACAGCATGATCCCAAGCAGTTATTAAGGCGCTATCGTCCCAAACATCGGAATTCTTTTTAAGAATAGATACGTTTTAGTTCGTGACAATCTAATAAAAACAATTTTTTAGTACCTCCTCGGTCAAATCTTCTTGAGGCACGTCAAGGTCATTCGAAACTTCTGGTAGTGTTTTTGATTGGAAGTTGGAACCCCACTGAGCTTCCATATTTTCTAATATGCTTGAAAACTAGGAACGGTACTCTTATCTATGCGATCTCAATTGTGGCTTAGCTAGCAATATAGCGGGCTTTGATTGGATGGTCTACACTAAACGTTACACGATATGTTTCATAGATGAAACGTTTAACTGTCAAAGTAATTTGGTAATCCACGAAGTCTTCGTGGATTACCAAATTACTTTGACAGTTAAACGTTTCATCTATGATACATATCGTGTAACGTTTAGTGTAGACCATCCAATTAGTGATATGAATCGAAAATCGATTAATCGTTTAGTTGTCTGAGTTGACAATTAATCGATTAATAATTTTGACCCAACTATTAATCGATTAATCAACTAATCGATTAATCGATTAACTATTAATCGATTAATCGATTAGGCCATATAAAATTAGTTTTTTGGTTCTCATAACATAAAATTTTAAAAATGACCCGGCAACCCGGCTTTTAATTTTATTTTCAAAAAAATTTTATATGTAAAAAACAAAATTTTTTACAAAAATTTTAAAAGTTCACCCGGATAATAAATATAGTAAAAAATTTTTTTCAAAATTTTGTTGAATTTGACCCGGCCAGGTTATGAGAACCAATTAATTAAGTTTGTATGGCCTTAATTAGATTTTTAATAAAATTTTTATCAGATTTATTTAGGTCAACTAAACAACTAATAGGTTAATCGATTAATTAACTAATCGATTAATCAATTAATTGATTAGTTAGCAATAATCGATTTGTAATCAATTTTTAAAAAATTTTCAACTAACTAATTGATTACATTTTTTGCTCTGATTCATAACACTACATGAAGTAATTCCATTACCATTATGATAGGGTGTTAAATGCACTATGTAAATCAAATATATGTATAGTCATATATTAAAAATGGTACCAAAAAATTTTTTTTTTGAAATGATTACCAATTGAGATCAATTTTATTTCATATATCTGATATACTTAATAAATATACTGAAATATAATGATAACATTTTTTATTTTATTTTTTCTAAAAATCCTAATACTAATGTGACTAATATTAATTTTGAAATAAGTTTAAAAACATTTTAGTTGCTTCTTCTTCTTCATAGGTTTTTATATTTTCTATATGATTTTTTTGTGATTGGTTTTTAATTTGAATATCTAAAAGTTTCTAAGCAGTATTATTTTCATTTATATTTCCAAATAAAAGTTGTAATCTTGATTGCTTCAAGTCAAGTGTTATATTTGAGTGAGTTTTTAAATCTAGTTTATTAAAAAGCCTTTTTACTTGTTATTAATAAATTATAATAGAATAAATCTACTCTTTAACAAATTTATATATTATTGAATATTAGAGCTTGAAGTAAAACAAAAATTTTTAAACTTGTCTCTAAATTTTAAGCAATTTAATAACTCTTCTCAAAGGCCAAAGATATTATTAGATACCTTAAAATCTTTATACAATTGTTGTGCTAATTCTATTTCACATTCTGTTGGCTCTAAAAGCCATTGTGATTCTAAAACAATATAGTAAAATGCTCTTACAAACTTATAGCTAGAATTTCACCCAAATAGCAAATTAATAGTGGCAAATATGTCTATAGAGATATTAATTTTAAAAAATGTTTATATGCTTTATTTATACCTTGTTTTAAACTATTAAAGAGTTTACTAAATTCATTATTATTTAGAATTTCTAGTACTATTAACAATTCATCTTCAAAAAATAAATCAAAATTTTTTTTAAAGTTATTCAAAAAACTAATCTATTCATTAACTTTGTTAGGCATTTCGTGAGTGTGTCAATTAGATGAAAGTTGGGCTAAATTATTATCTAATTTAATATAAGGTATTGGATCTTTTTTAACTATAAATTGTATTAGTAGTTCATAAAAATGCTCCCTAAATATAACAATACTAAACTTGAATGTTTAGTTTCTTATTTAGAAGCTATTCTCTAAATAATCACCAATCTGAAAGATACAATGTTCATGTATTACAATTATTTTTAAGTAATCTAATAAATTAATTTGCAAATTCTATATGTATTATATACTGATTTAAATATTGTTTAGCAGTATATAATTTATAGCCTCACCATTCTCTAATTGGTAATTGATATTGTAAGGAATAAAGTTCTAATAGCTTACTGTATTATATAATTTTTGAATATATTTAGACTTCATATTAAAGATATTGCTTCTATTACTTGAATTATACCTATTATGAAGAAGCTATACAAGGTATAATAAATTAAAGAAAAGTAGATTTCTTGAAAATCTAATTAATAAAGGTAATTTTTCAAATATTTCTTCAAAATATGTTAAAACAATATGCATTATATATATATTATAGCTAATTTGTATTATATTTATATTTACTTTTTTATTAAATAAAACTATTACACCTTTCTGATTACTAGATACAGTATGTAAACAGTATAATTTGTTATATAAGTTAGATATTTCTTTGGATTAAGTCTATAATTTGTAAGGGTAGTATAAATATTATTTACTATAAACTAGCCAGTGCATTTTTATAAATATTCAAGATTAGTTATAGTAACTAATAGCATATTATTTTTATAGTTCTAGAATATAATATACATAATAAAATTATTATTTTTACTACAAGTTGACTTATTAACAAGAATTTCAAATTGAGAACATTAGATAACTTGATTTATCATAAATTCAGTTTCAGTTTGTGAAACTTCTTTATGCCAAGTACTTAATATAAATACTAATAATCATTTTTTTGGAGGCTTGCTTACCAAAAATTTGTAAACAAGGTGTAATAATTTTATAGCAGCAATTAATAAGATTTGTCTAATTTGTAATATTTTAGTAGAAAGCCAAATCATTTTTAGCAAATATTTATTATTATTAGTTTTAAACAATTTATTAATTTGATGCTTAAATTCTTTATAAGATATCTGCTTTCACTTGCATATTAATAAATTAATAGTTAAAACTTGTTTTTTTACTTTATTTTTAATAGAAGTACTTATAGACTAAACTTTATATATTAAAGTTTAGTTATTTCTTGATAGTCTTTGGTTTACTGATTTTAGTTTTTTATTCTTAGCTTTTAAAAATTCAACTTGATTTTTATAATTATTTGTGATATATTCAAGAGCTTTCTTTTAAAAGTAAATAAGATAATTTTATTTTTATGTTTTCTTTTTGGATATTGTATTAATTTAATTAACTTTAATATATATTTTTTTTGTAGCTCTAGCATATTACAAAAAGTATTAAATACTTTTTTTCTTTTGTATTAATAATAATATATATTTTTGAAAAAAATTCAGAATTA